CTCCGCCGAGAGCGTAGGAGCACTGCTGGGACTACGGTCTCAACTGGTCCTGCTCCCGCTGTTGGGGTATTGGCCCGGGCGAGCGGAGCGGGGAAGGGGAAGGGGTAGAGAGAGGTGATCAACTCGGTAAACCCTGTGGCTTTACAGAGGACAAATGGCAAGAGTCCAGGCGTCCTTCTCTAGTGTCACTTTAAACTGTTTTACGACGAACATGGGAAAGTACCTCCAGGCAGCCCCCTACCAGAATGTTATCCCTGCCGCGGTGGTCTTTAGAGGACTTGGAGCCAAGAATGGAAGGGTTGAAAGATCGGGTGTGGAGCCCAGGTTTGGCATTTGGGGCGATCTGGACAGGGCTCGACAGCGCCGCCCAGGGACCACCAAGCACTTTGTAGCGTGGCTCCAGAGGTTGCTGCTCCCCGACTCCTCCTCATGCGCGCGCGCGTGCGCGTGCGGGTACAAACAACTTTTGTTTTGTTTTGAGACAGGGTGTTGTTTTGTAGCCCTGGCTGGCATTGAACTCACAGAGATCCTCCTGCCCCTGCCTCGCCAGTGCTGAGGTTAACGGCATGCACCCCCAAACCTGGCTCTTCATCTGTATTGAACAGAAGCTGGGCGCACTAACGACCCATGGCTGGGGCCTTGGAATCCGCTCCTATGGAGGCCAAACTCTACCCGACAAACCCAGGTCCTGGTAATCCAGAGTGGCTGAACTCCTAATCCAATCCCAAGGCGCCTTAGGAGTATTGCCAAGACCTGTACCTTGGCACCCAGGAAGACCCCAATGGGGTCTGTGTCCTTTCCCCAAATTGGGGCCGGGAGCCCCAACCACGACACCACGGAGTTGGATACATAAACATAAACATTGCACCACTCCGCAGGGGCGCCGAGTCAGGAACATTCTGCGGTTTCTTCCTCTCTACTAGGGGGAGGTGTATTACCGGTCACCAAATGTTGTTGCTCTGCAACGTCTGTCCACTTTGGCCTCCCCTAGCTCTTGCGTTCTGCCTAGATTCTTTGTAAATTCGGGGTACTTTATTTTTGAAGGGCATTTTACCTTCCTATGAGCCTTGATCTAAAAGAGCAGCAAAGGAGTCAGATAACACCACCCTCCCTGCATCTCAGCGACAGAAAGAAAAAAAAATTATTTATTCCACTTATTCAGCTGAGAACCTCAACATATTTTTGTGTTGAATCATAAAATGTTACAGCTGCTGCTGTTACGAACTGCATACCAACTTCATTTTTTCATATATATATATATATATATATATATATATATATATATAAAGGCTATCTATTGTATCTTTCTATATCCAAAGTTTTCTAAACGACCTATTTATACAAATGCAGTGGCATGGTCTGGTACTGAAGTTAAATGTCTGCTGGTCCCCGTGGAGTTCTGCTCTCTTCCCTCCCTGGAAGAAGCATAAAAAGTGGGCTGGAACCCGGGGGAAAGTTGACTGTTGGAGAGCCAGCCGTTCTCTTTTCTGTTGAGCCTTCAAGGCAGTATCTGTACAATGGATACCATGCAGCATGGCTTGGTGACATTCCCTTGTAAAGCAGGAGGGGCAGGACACTGGGACCTTTCCCCTCCTGAGTCACTGACTCTGTTTTTCCCCTTCCCGGCTGTGATTCTTATATCATGAGGCCCCCTGGGCTGTGTGTTTCAGAATCTGGCATCAGAGCCTTAGCTGGTATCTTCAGGTGGGTCTTGAGAGACTCCTAGAAGCCTCAACTGGTTGGAGCTCCAGCTGAGAGAAAGCTCTTGTGTACCACAAGGGACTTATTCTAGGATCCACTTGTTCAGAAAGAGTTAGCAAAGGTCTAGCCACCCAAGGTCCCAGTCCAGGCAGTGAGAATGCCCTGGTGACAGGGAGCAGAACCAGATAGGCTTCTTTCAGCAGAGTTGGAAGGGTAAGCAGCTTGTGCTATGTGCTTAGCTGCTGAGGGCCCAGAGCAGGTGAGTCAGTAGATGTGAACTCTGGGAGAGGCTGGGCCTCACTGGCCTGAGAACTTCATAATTCCAGGTGTGCTTAGAACAACTCTACAGGAAGGTGGGGTGGGAAAAAGCCGCCAAAAGTCTTAGCCTGCCTCCCCTCTTTCTGTGTGTCTCATCAGTCACTTCACCTTGCTGCACCTCCCTGTGACTGTGGAGAAGAGCATCAGTTTCTATCTGGGTCCGGTGGGGACATTCAGTGCACAGGGTTGGCACAAGCCTATGAACCTGTCAGACCCTTTCAGAGTTCATTTAGGATCTGTTTTGGGGTCAAAAGGGAAAGGGGAAAGAAGCTCCCACTACTGACTAAAAGTGCTCCTTGCTCATGGTCTCCTCCATAACATTAGGCAAGTGACTTACTCTCCTGAGCCTCAGTTTCCATATTTATAAACTGGGAATAATGGCCATCTAGAACTAAATTAAATGGTGGGAGAAAGGCCTGGTGGGATCCCTGCAGAAGAATTGCTCCCAGGAGAGGGGTAAATGCCCATCCCTCTTTCCCCTTGACTCCCCTTGTGTCAGTCAGCTTTCTGGCACTGTGATAAAATACCTGAGATAAACAACTTAAGAGAGGAACTGAGGCGCCAGCCCATGATGGGTCGCCGAGCATCATCACAGTGGCCTGTGGGGAGGAAAGATGTAGGGAGTTCAAAGCAGAGAAAAGAGGCAAGGAAGGCAAGAGTGGCCACAAGGACCCACTCCCTTCAGCAAGGCCCCTCTACAGTTCCCACCTCTGCCCGATAGTCCCCCAAACTCTGAGCACACCATCATATCCATCGATGAGAAGAGCGTCACTACCCCAAAGTTTCTCCCTGAGCACTGCTGCAGCCGGGACTAGGCTCTCAATACGTGAGACTTTGGGGGCACATTCCAAATGCAAGCCTCAAGACTCCTCTTGTTCAGTAACCTTCTGTGACTCCCATTTCCCACAACAGCCCTCTGCCTGGGTCTCCCCGTTTCCTTGGCCTTCTGGCTGGCTCCCACTTGCTTTGATTTTGCTCATGGGTTCCAAGAAAACTCAGTGAGCCTGTGTTCTTCGAATATTCTAGGCCTTTCCCACCCACACAGCTTTGCCCACATTGCCCTCCTTTCCCTGTCTTCTGAGCTCCCCAACACTCTTCTCCCCTGCAGACCTACAAAGGGACTATCTAAGCAAATGGAGACTCATCTGACTTCCCCCATCTCCCTCTCCCTTCCCCTCCCACTTCACCCCTGTCCTACACCACTGGACTGCAGACATGCTAGCTGCAGGGCTTGCCTGTGCTTTTCTCCTCTGTGGCAATGCCCAGCACATAGTAGGCCCACAGTCTGTGACATAGCAGAGTATCTTTAAGAACACCAGTGAACGCAAAGCATTCTTCAGTGCCAGGTGCTTTACAGGTGTCGCCTCCTGACACAGTCCTGGAAAGGGGTGGTCGCTAAGCTCAGATAAGGGACATGCCCAGGGTCACACAGCTGGGACTTGTTGATGCAGCTCTGGCATGAGACCATTTCCACCTCCCTCTCCTGAGGCCTCAGTTTCTGCAAGCTCCATACTGGCAGTGCTGGCTGAGGCCTCTGGCGCCCAGATGGCCTGGAGCTTTCCTCAAAGAGCCAAGATCCCTGCAGCAGCCTTGGATCCCTGCAGAGCCTGAACCCACCTAACTCTTCTGACCCAGTCCCTCCTGTCCCTGATACCTTTCTGCATTGGCCCACCCTATGGATTGACAAGGGTAATCCATCACCCTCCACATTCGGGCATGAGGACACAGCCAGCCTCTATTGCATAATTATTGCACACAGCTCTCTAATCAGGCCTGGTGCAGCTGTGTCATCTCATTCAGCCTCCTCATTTGAGAGAAATGAAGCTCAGAGAGGTTAAGCAACTTGTCCAAAGTCACACTGTGTTCAGAACATCCTAACTGGAATCACTATATTGCCAACTTTGTGTTCAACTTAACACTGCTTATCTCAAGAGACTGCCTGGCACCCCTTGCACTTTTTTTCTTAGAAATACAGACAGAACGGTGGGTTTTTACTCAAATGTGTAACATCTGAAAGCAAGAAAACAAAAAAGACAAAAGCATTAAAAGGCAAGCATGGAGGGCTGTGCCATCATTGTTACCACCAAGTTCAAGTCGGACAGCCTGGGCCAGGAGCCCAGTTCTCTGGCTTTGTGTTGGACAAATTGCATTACTTCTCTGACACTGCTCATCAAATGGTAACAGTGTGTGTTCTGTAGGGAGATACAAAAGCAGAGAGACGGGGAGTGACACAGTACAGCCCAGGAATCAGCCCTAGCCCTGCCTCTCTCAAAATCCAAAATATTTACTCCATTAAGGGGAAAAGTCAGCCTGCCCTTGACACGGGCTCATGTCTGGAAGGCCCAGGAATGTGTTCAGTTGATTTGTACTGTTGGTCTTCTGTGGCTATTTATAGGCTCACCCCCGGAATGCATCACAGAGCAATACTTGTTTTCATCCTCTATTTCAGTGTGTAGTAGGCACTTTTGTTGTATCTTAGAGTGTTCTTAGAGTGTGACTTAGGCGGAGGTCTGTCCTAGTTAATGGACATAGTAACAACTGTCAGCAATTCCCTTTCTGATCTGTACATGACTTACCGAGGTAGGTATTAGGGTCTGAAATGTCTAGGTCCAATAAAACAAATATTAAGGCTTATCATGGAAAAGCATTTAAAATATGTCATCACTCAGCCACATATATAAGAGCAGGATATGGACTGGTTAAGA